CAAAAACCAAACAGAACTTAACAAAAAAAAGAAATTAATTTGCAAAATCGACAAAAAATTACGGAATTTAGAAAAAGATAGTAGCACGGCAAATTTTCTTTTTTTTATTTGTGTTAATGACGTGTTTGTCGATCAAATAAAAGTTTCTTAGTTTTTTTTTTTGAAGATGTCTACTGAATCTAAAACAAAAAGAAAAAGAAGTAAAGAATTCGTTCCCGATGTTGCTGGGTAAGTGTTTATCATAAGAATGGTGGTGGCGGTGGTCGCCGTTTGTCGTCACTCTAGTTATTTAAAAGAATAATGTGGCCATTGCAGCTGATATAAAATTTTCTTTTGTATTTGATTAGCATGACTTCCCTAAAAAATACACTCGTTAACATTCGAAATAACACATTTAGACGGCTATTAAAGGTTCATCACATTAGCTACAATCTTTCATTTCCAGACGATATGGTAAACGGGCTAGATGGCTTATTAGAAACTATTTCTGGTAAGCTTGAAATATAGAAAAATAATGCTAATGGTAATATTAATTATATAGGTTGGTTGTCAGAGTACGAAAATACTGGAAACTCCACCTCCTCTCACATTCCTGACGATGATCTCGCTGTTAATAATGAACCAGTATTGGATACCGAATCACATACCTCCTCTCACGTTCCTGACGATGATCTTGCTGTTAATAATACGAATGAACCAGTATTTGGATACCCGAATCACATATCTCCTCTCACATTTCTGGCAATAATCTCGCTGTTAATAATACTAGTGGACCAGTATTGATACCGAATCACATATCTAAGGTTTCCGGTCCAAACTGTTTTCTCAAAGCCCAAAGTGTTTTGGCACTTTCAGCTACTAATAAAGAGAGTTTCGGTCAGAAACCTTAGCCATCACCATTATGGATACCGGGCGATGAAGATGGGGTATATATGATATATAAAATATAATTATATTTTAAATATTTTAATACAATAACTTTTTTTTATTTTTAATATTATATATAGGAAACAAACTGAATGCATAAAATGCGTGATACATTGTTCATCGGAATGATTGGTTTTTTTAATCTATATATAAAATTAAAAAGAGCAAAAAAATTTTTTTTAAATCAGTGGTGTATATTCACATTAATTAGCATTACAAATAAATTTTTTATATATTTGCGAACACGAAATTAAAAAAAATGTCCAATGATAGCTAAACCATGGAAGACCTCAATTAAATTCAAACATTACTGACCCCTGAAATTCTTGGTAATACAAATGTTCACTTTGTCTGGTATGCCCCATATTGCCAATAAACTCTAATTTTTGGAATTGAGTATTAAACAAAAAATGACTTGTATTATAAAAAAAAATATTTCATATGTAGAAGAAAAAAAAGAACAATCAACTAATCCACAACAACAAACACTTGATATCTTTTTACCATTAATACCATCATCATCATCATCATCATCATCACCATCACGAGTCAATAATAGACCACCTGTTATTATTATAATCCATGGAGGAGCATGGCGTTCTGGAGATAAATCAGAATTAGAAAGTTTTTGTGAAAAATTAACAAAAATTAGTAATTATGTGGTTGTTAATGTTAA